CGATCTACTTGTTATGGACGTGATGCCTATATACATGATCATGCCTAGATAATCTCATAACTATGCGCTTTTCTATCAATTGCTCGACAGTAATTTGTTCACCCACCGTAATATTTATGCTATCTCGAGAGAAGCCTCTAGTGAAACCTATGGCCCCCGGGTCTATCTCTTATCATCTTTGCTTTCAATCTATCTTTATTTGCATCTTTACTTTTTGCATCTATATTACAAAATACCAAAAATATATTATTATCTCTCTATTAGATCTCACTTTGCAAGAGGCCGTGAAGGGATTGACAACCCCTTTATCGCGTTGGTTGCGAGTTCTCAGTTTGTTTGTGTAGGTGCGTGGGACTTTTGAGGAGCCTCCTACTGGATTGATACCTTGGTTCTCAAAACTGAGGGAAATACTTACCCTACACTTGTTGCATCACCCTCTCCTCTTCGGGGAAAACCAACGCAAGCTCAAGACGTAGCATATAGTCGGTGAGCCAGTCTTCTGGCTTCACGGTCCCATTGTACTTGGGGGTGTCGCGGGGGAGCATGAACCCTTTGGGGAAAGGCTCCTCCCGGATGCGTGGGCCGAAACACGTCGGCCCGATAGCGCCGCTCTCCTCCACCTCCAGGGAGCAAGCAAGCTGATCGAGGTGGTGGCGAGCGTCGGCGTCGTTGATGGCACGTGGGCCGAGTCAACTGGCAGCCAGGCCCTGAGGGGCCGGGTCGGTTGGAGCCGGACGCCGGCCATGCTGGCCGGGTCTGCGCTGGGTCTCCGTGTGCAGAAGTTCGCCGGGTCCGCCAAGGCGGGCGGAGCCAGATCTCGCTAGCTTGGCGAGCTGGTTGAGGCGATCCTGCTGGGTGTTGGCGGCGTGGAGGAGCTCACGCATCCGCCGATGCACTCTTTCAGCTCCTCACCCGTGATCTGGTCCAGGTCGACCGCAGCTGCCTCCATAGTGCGCATGTTCTTCACTGGGGTCTCGTAGACGGTTCGGACGGCGCCGAGGGCCCAGCCGATCGCTCCTCCCCGGGTACGCACATCAGCGCCTCGGCTTGGCTCGGCTGCAGCGGGCGCGAATCTGTGGGCGGCGTCATGCTCCATCTGGGCGGCCTCCAGGCGACGCTTGGTGGCAGCGAGCGTCTCAAACAGGTCCAGCATCTGCTGGCGCCTTTCCTCGAGCCGAGATCGGGCCTCGGCGACGTTGGTGGCATCGACGTCGATGCCGATGGGGATGCGGAGGCTCTGCATCACAGCGCGTAGCGGATCAGACGGCTCGGTCCGTTCCGCAGCGGCCCTGGCTTCCACGGCCTTCCTCGTCTTGCTCGACAAGGAGGAGGCGCCATCGCCGGTGACGTAAACCTCCACATGGACGTCCATCGCCCCGGCGGCATTGCCGCCACCGAGGGAGAGGGGAGAGTCAGACTAGCTGAGCACCTCGCTGGGGTACTCGTCGGCTGCGAATGCATCGAAGATGCGCAGCGCGGCGAAGGAGGTGGCAAGCGCGCCGACAACGTCGTCCGCCAGCGCGATGGACTCGTCGGTGTAGGAGAAGGGCCCCGTCTGAAGCATGCTCCCGGCCAGCTCCTCGAGCTGCCCCGCGGTGGGCACCAACTATCGTGGTGGGCGCATGGCAGATGCCAAGGGATGGCTAAAGAGAGGAGGAGGCTCGAGGGCGCTGGTGGGCTCCAGAGGCGAGGTTGGCATGAGCGGGCGCGGGACGCCGAACATACCCAGGTTCGGGGCTCTCCAGAGAGATAATACCCCTAGTCCTGCCGAGTGTAGTTGGATGATCGATAGTACAATGTTGCTCCTGGAGCTGTATGGAGGAGGAAGGAAGCTAGCCAAGGCTTGGGCTGCTCCTTCTCTTCGGTGTTATGGTTTGGTGGCTAGTCCTATGCTTGCTTGTTTCTCCCTTGTATCTGTTTCTCACATGCTACCTTGTACATCTACCATGCCCCTGTAGGTGTGGGTTCCTGGGGGGTTTTATAGATCAACCCACCCAGGGTTACAATGGTAATACGCCGAGTCGGTGGGTCCGTATTGTTGGTGTCCGGGATACCGGGCTGGGTCCTGCTTGAGGGCTTGTGGTTCGCTGGGTTCCCCTAGGTGCGGGCCCCGCATGCCTAGGGGGACTATGCGCCGTCTTGTCGATCGTCAGGGCGTGGCCGAGTCGAGTCGCGTACAGTGCTCTCCGTTAGGTTGCCACTTGCTGTCGTCAGCGGTGAGGGCGGGAGCACTGTTGCCACGCCAGCCCCGGTCAGCGGGTAGGTAAGGGGCACTATTGCCACGCTCCGGCTGACCATAGGCATGGGTGGAAGCACTGTTGTCTTGGTCATCGGTGATTGAGGTCTCGTCCCATCATACGGTCTGGATGGGACGGGAGCTTGACCCGTGGCTAGATTGCGACGCACGCCACGGGTGGGGTCGGTTTGTTGGGGAATCCTTGGTCGTGCCGGGTTCGGCTGCCTTGCGCCAGTTGCCAAGTCCGGGTCGATGTACCTTGCCGGGTCGGAGAGTTTGGCCGGGTTGCGGGCCTTGCCGGGTCGAGCGACCCGGCCGGGGGCGTGCCAGTTTGAGGGGCGATGCGGGCCCACTATTTTTGAAGAGGATCCGGGTTCCGTTGCCTGCCCGGGGTTCATCCCCCCCCCGACAGTATTGCTCTTATAGGCCCCCACATCTCTTTCTTTTTCAACATTTTGTGGATCAGCCCGAGCAAACTGCTTCCCATGGGATGAGTTTTTTTTACCTAACTCAACCTGGGTCACATTGCTCATTCTTTCAGGATCTCTGACCAATATCTTCTCAATGTCATGAAAGAAACAAAAAAAGTGCATGCCTAGGACAGCCTCAGCCACACCAGGTAGTTCGTCCACATTGCGACATCCCAGCTGGACCCGCACATACTCAGGTTTGTGCAGAGTGGCCATGTCAATTTCAAGTGGAACACCAACCACAGATGAGACATATGCCAAGTTTCTTTCATTTCTCCGTTCCAGAGGAACATTAGCCACTCTCACCCAAGCAACCTCCATCACCCCTTTCGCCCCTACATTGGCAGACCAGGGAACAATCTTGACCACTACTCCACAAGATTTGAGAGTCAATTTATCATTATAGCAAGCTTTTTTCACATCTCTCTGATTAGGGAACCGCATGACATAAGTATTAGGGCCTATAGGGTGGGCTGTGCAGTGCCATTTTGTCCCAATATAATCAGAAAATGCATCTTCCAACTCCTTAACACTCGCCTCTCCCTCAATAACAGTAATCACAACACTAGTGGCTCTTTCCTTGAGCTGCTTAGCAGTGCAAGAATATGGGATACAGAAAAAACCCTGGGCCCTTGGCCTGAAAAGCACACATAGGGGCTACACACTCCCAAGGCAGAAAAGTAGTGCAGATTGAAGCCAGATGCCCCATCTTACTGCATCTCTCACAAAAGGCTTGCAAGCAACTAGCAGGAGTATGACTAGTAGCTTTGCAGATCAGACACGGATCATAGGTTTTGGTTGGGAGCGCCTGGTAGATGATTCAGCCCGCTGGACGATGTCAGGGATCTGCTTCTTCTTGGATGTGTTGTCGATGTCGATTCTAGGGGGATTAGGGTTTGGGTGCTTCTCCATCGACATCCCACCCGATCTTGCCCGCTTGGCCTGCTCCGCTGCATCGTCCCAGTGCATGGTGTCGTCCGAGGCCGATGCCGCCTGCTTGTTCGTGGAGAAGTCGTCGCTGTCCGCCTCCCTGGACCACGAGAAGCGGCCCCGACCGCGGCCCCGATCGAAACGACCGGCACCGCGCCCGAATCGCCCAGATTCAAAGCCTTCCCGCCGATTCCCGTGGAAGAAAGGGCCGCCGCGGTCCTCCATCATCACCGGAGTGCTCGGCTTGGAGGTCACCACCACCACAAAGGATCTGCAATCCCCCCAACTTTCCCCTCCCACCATAGAAAAGAGGAAGGGATTCTGGATCTAGGGTTTCGCGGCGCCTCGCAGAAATGCGAGAAAGCGGCATCTAGGTCACGGGTGGGAACGGGGTGGGCTTTTGAACCTGTCGCGCGGCTCCTCTCCCCGCCATGGCAACCGGGATCCTCGTCCACGTGTCGCGCATCCATGGCGGGTGCCTCGGTCGCGTCCGGATGTGACCCAAGGATGCCCTAGCCCTGCCACCACGTCCCCGCGGTGTACCGCCCGCATCATCAGTCGAACGAGTCTGACGCGGCGCCGCCGCGTGTCCTACCGGAATCCGGTCCCGCACCCTGGCTATGTGACAAGGAAAGGATATTGCCTGGCCGATGTCGATCCTCTCCCCGGCCTGGAGATAGCGTGTGTCGACCGCCACGCCCCTCTCATCGATCAGGACGATCCGAAGCGTGTCGTGTCGAAGCCGGATCTCGCAGTCGATGAAGGAAAGCGTGCGCGCCGACATGAGGTCAGCCACGTAGGAGACTAGCCAGCGTACGTCGCTCGCCATCCCGCCCCCTCCACCTCGATCCGATCAAGTTTTTGGCACCCCGGTACGGTCACGTGATGTGCGTAGCGGCTCCATGATTAGTATGAAAAGCATCGGTGATAGTGGTGCTCCCTGCCATAGGGACAGTTGAGTATAGGTCTTCCCTTGGTTCCATTGATCATGATTCTAGTGGATGAGGTCACAAGTAAGCCACAAATCCACTTTGTCCATCTTGCACTGAAACCCATATGTGTGAGCACAACGGAGGATTATATTCTGGAGTTTCAATCTAAGAGATGATATCAAAATATTTGACGGCAGATCCATGTCAAACACCTTGCTTCACAGCAAAATGCAACAAGCACCTCCTTACTACATGAAACAGATTAATAACATCGGACATACATCAAAGTGGAGTTTTATCCTTCATTACAACCAAAATGATGCATGATTCTACTAGAACAGGTTTGACGCTCATAATGAAACATGATTTTCTGCTTCTTCCGCCTACATTATATTAGCATAGTGATGGACGATTCTACCACACTTCAAACATTCAGAACTTGAATGAAATCTGTAGGCCACCAGGAGCATGTCGAACAGATCGAGGTTGGGCACCGTGGTATCCACCCCCAGCAGGATGCAGGATATTCTCAGAGCACAGGCTACAACCACCAATGTTTTTGGGATTGCCTGCGAGTGTAAAATCATTTATGTAAAGAACACCACACACACACCCGCACAATTCATCAAGATAAAATTTGTGTGAACAAAAACTGAAACTTGGATTATTGAACGTACCTGGGTCAAGCTTAACACATGAAATACAAGATATTTTCCTCGTCCCCACAATTTCCGATTCAGCAAAGAAGTACTTGGGGACGAGATCAACAAAGTTGGTGGCTCCTTTTCGCTTGGCAAGGAAATTTGCATGGAACCAGATACCATTGAAGACAAAGACATGGCTGCTCACTGGTTTAACCATCTCATGCTCATCCCCCTAACAAATTCACAAACATAAGAGGGCAGTCGAAGGGTGCATATATGAATTAATGAGTAGCTAGGCACGTGGTAATGCATTATGAATTGTTAGATTTAGTCTGTGGAATTCACCACCATAAGAGGGCAGTTCAAGGGTGCAATTAAGTGCCATGTAACTGAGAAAGAAGTTAATCGTATCATGAAAAACAAACTGGGAAAGGATAAGAAAAAAGGAGAACTTGGGCAGGTCAAGAGGTGAATCACATTGCACACTGGTTCCATAGTCTTCACTGCACGTTGGAAGCAATTAAAGAGTATGATCACAGCTACAAGGTCTAACTCGCTGGGAAATTGCTGGGGAACTTTTACAGGACACGAAGACAAGAAGGCTACATGGTAACCTTGTGATACCAGTGTCTAGAGAACTTGCAGGCTGTTCAATAACAACACTTTCATGTACATAGGGCCAAACCAGACCTATTGAGCCTCATGCAAAAGATGCAGGCAGCAAAGCATACACAGTGCAGAAGCATTCTAGACCACATGTTAGTTTCTTTATAATCATACACACCCATGTCTTGAGCTTAATTGCATTCTAGACCACTTGCAAGATTGTTTGTTCCAGTTTGACTTATTACCACCGGCGGAAAACGGCACACTGACAAAGTAAAGAAAGCTGAAAAGTTATCCCAATCTGATGAACTAAATGTCGAATGACTACCCCGGCACTAAGTGGCACTATGCAATATTTATACACTTGAGTAGAATAGAGCAAACCTGATTCATGTTGTTGTAGTGTTCCAAAGCCACACGTGCACACGTCGGAGTTTGCCATGTTGGATCATGCTTAATTTCTATCCTGAAAGAGCAGAAGTGTCAACATCATACGCATATCTTGCTTGTGTGTTTTCCATCAAACTAGTACTAATTAACGAGTTAACACTGAATGGTATTATCACATAGAACAGAAGAACTAAACCACCTTTAATAAGTATAAAGTCAAAAGGCGATAACTTACATCGACAAACGATTTTGGATCTCGATGTTAATTATCACTAGTGAGAGGTTACAGCTCATACTTCTCGATGGAGAACTGAATGGCAGGTGATAACTTGCAACGACAGACAATTTTGGACCTAGATACTATACGTCATACTTGTTGATGGAAAAATAAAGTAAATAGCAGGCAGGGAGCACATTAAACTGTGTCATAACCAATGGCCCTCAAAAATGGAGACATGATAAGAAAAGTATTGTAATGCAATTAGGACTTGATGGTGAGATAATAGATAAGAGATAAAGGAAGGCATTACAGGATCGCATGTTGCTTGAATATCCTAGGCACCAAGCAGATTTTACTCCCAGGTACAAATGTCAGAGTTGTTGCATTTTAAAAGAGAATCCCCTAGCAAGCATGGTATGCAGAAACAACTAAACCAACTGTTCAAGAATGCATACAGATAGATAGTAGAGACATAATTTATCACCGGCATATATACAGATCATATTTCTAGTACTTGATTGCATAGTAGTTGAAACTATATCAACTCCCATTTATGCCACTTATTATCACTATAAATGCTAATGTTGGCCTATTCAACAAAGTTGGTGGCAAGGGCAGGGGTCATGTGGTCAGCATAATGGTAAAATCACGGACAATGGCATCGATTCAGTTCACTATATCCATCAATCAAAGAATTAATCCAAAGCATGCAGCACATTAGGGAGTGGAAGTGATTGCGTTGCCGGTGTGGAGAGGTTACCCGTTGTCGTAGCGACTGGGGGCGGGCTTGCGGTTGCTGGTATCCCGGACGACGCGGTTGTGGAGTCTGTACGCGGTGCGATGCCAATTAGGGGGGACGGAGTGCTCGGGCTTGGGCGGAGGAGCAACCATGGTCACATCCGCCGAATCCCGATGGCCGTAAGGGGGCGAAGATGGTCGCGCAACCCTCGCCGCTGGACGCTTGGGCGGAGGGGCCGGGGTCTCGGCGCGGGGTGCTGGAGGAGAAGGAGGAGGAGGCGACGCGACCGCACCCTCCGAGTCCAGGTCCAGGTCCAGGTCCAGGGGGCGGGGTGGTCGCGCAAGCCTCGCAGACTCGCGCTTGCGCAGAGGAACCTGGCCCTCGGCGCGCTTGGCCCGGCGTGCCGGAGGCTCCGCCGCCTTCGCCTCCGGCCTGGACCGCTTGGATCTCCGGGGTTCGCTCGTCGCGCGCTCGTCATGCAGGCCGGTCATCTCGGCGACTCCGGCGGTGGTACGGGATGGAGCGAACAACGACCGAGAGCGGGTCCGGAACGCCTATGCCTCGCTCGTAGCGAGACCGAAGAAGCGCGCCCTCCCCAGCAGGAAGTAACGGGCAGGCCCAACTTTCAGGTTAGTTCCTTTTTTTTCACGTTTCTTCACTCTTTCTTTTTTTGCTTTATACTTTTGTTTATATGTTCGAATATGTTTTAAACACATACATTCCAAACTTAATTTATACTTCAAAAAAATATATAATTAAGATTATTAAGAACATTAATGCAGTACAAAAAACATTTACCGTAACTTAAAAAATGATGGTAGCTTTCGAAACAATGTTTGTGACATTTAAAGAATATTCATACATTTCAGAAACAAGTACATGGAACTTTCACAAAATTTTATACTGTGTAAAAAACGTTCGTGTAATTCAAAAAATATTAAATGTGCATAATTTTTTTCCACATTTATAGGAAACATGTGTGATATGTACGGAAAAAAAATTGGACATAAAAACATATATTTAGAAAAAATGTTAATCGTGTATAATATAAATGTTAAACACGTATCAAAAATGTTTTTCATGTGTACCAAAAATATGCATGTGTATAAAAACAATAGACATCAAAATATATATTTGAAAAACTGTTAATCATATATTTGAAAAATTATAAACATGTATAAAAAAATTTGATATATAAAAAATGTACAATATGTAATAAAATGTAGACCATTGTGGAAAAAAGGAAAAAAATAAAACTGAAGAGAAAATGGAAAAGGGAAACAAGAAAACCGGAGGAAAAACACTGCAAAAATAAAAAATAAACACGAAAAACAAGAAAAACGAAACAGAAAAAGAAAAAGAATAAAAGGAAGAAAAGAAAAAAGGATCGGTGAAAACCGAGAAAGAAAAGATGAATACCGATAGAAAACAAAGAAAAGTAGAAACACTAAAGAAAACCAGTGAAAAAACAAAGATATTTGAATAAATCCGGTGAAAATACAAAGAAAACAGAAGAAAAACAAAAAATGAAAATGAAAAAATACCCGAAAAAACCAGAGCGAACATAACCATCGAGCGGCTGAGCAAGAAAAAAATGTACGGGAAATGGGCCGGCCCAAATATTGTAGCGCAAAGGAGAAAGCTTCATGCAAGCGTATCGTACGACTCGCTATAAGAGATACTCCTATACAATAGTCGTCGCAATCCCCTGAAACACGTTCACTAGAAAGATTTTCAGCGCAACACAAGCTGGCCCAGAGGTTAACTGCCTCAAAACAATCGGATTTCAGTCGCACGTGCATGTAGCCTTGAAGCTTCACGAAGATGATGCCCTCACGCAAGGAGAGCACTTCAACAATGAAAGGATCCATGACCCTTAGATGGGGTTTGCATCATGCGCCCAGGAATGCTGTGGAAGAGCAGGCTACTCCCCCCACGCCGGCGACGCCGGCATCGAGATGTACTGCAGCATCAGTGTTGATCTTTACAAGATTACCTTCAGGGGGCCGCCAACCATAACCCGGCAGAGGTATGACTCACTATAATAAGAGATATAATAGTCGTCGCAGTCCCCACGTTCACTAGAAAGATTTTCAGCGCAACACAAGCTGGCCCAGAGTATAACGAGCGCGTGAGGAAAACAGGTTAGACCCAAATCGCTGATAAAATGCAGAAATTTGGGCAGTAGCAAAATCATAAATTTACCTGGCCCAGTATATTGCCATCTCAAAAATAGCAATATATAAGGATTTCACTACAAATTAAATGTTGGATTTTTTTTGACATGGCAAACCGAATGTCCGAGATGACAAATTATGTTGTCGCGAGTATGTCAATTTCCTTCAACAAAACGGCAAATCCTTGTCATGCTCAGTTTTTGCCAGGAATTGTCATGCTTACTAAATAAATTTGCCATCTTTGCGACAATATAATTTTTCACAAGAAAAACATCCGATTTTGCATGCTTAAAATTCTGATGTCAGATTTTTAGCATTTTCAAAAGTATATTGCCGTGTTACAAGAATTCATATACATGAGTAGAAATATAGAAAAAACGGGGAGGACATTACCATGACACAATTTAAAAAATCCGCCGATGTGTAACACTTACAAAATAACCATGCTACATACAACAAGTAATTTCCATGGTGTGATTTTTAGAATGGAGGCACATACCAGGCCTTAGACTACGTCGCCGACGTCGACGCCGTTGCGCCCGCCGAGCGGAGCGTGCGCGAGAAGGAGGAGCGTCGGCGCCGCGCCAAGGATCTCAAAGACCTCGAGTGGCGGCAGGCCGTCGCCGCCAACCTCGCCGCCAAGGAGAAGTACGAGGAGTGGCGCCGCATCCGCGAGGAGCAGAGGGCGAAGTACATCGACCTCTGCAGCTCCGGCGAGGAGGATTGAGCGTCCTTCCCCTCCACGGCGTCGTCCATTTGCCGCGACCTCGCCGCCGTCAGATCTGACCCCCTCTAGTACTAGTATTAACGTAGTATGTAGTATGAACTATGTTTGTAGTGTGTTGATCATGTAAAATCTATGTAGCATGTGATGAACTACTCACGTTCTCGAGGTGCAATTTCTCCCGCGAAAGTGTTTTTTTTAAATTATGCAGTTTTAGATACGGTTTCTGTTCGGCCGCGCTAGTTTTTGACCCGCAAACGCGATCTTCGTCAAACCGCAAACGCGTTTTGCGGGGTCTACTAGAGTTGCTCTAAACAAAGGTGAATATTGAAGGATCCCGCAAACCATGAGGGACGTCCCTATCACACATCTGCACTTGTGCTGGCACGGCGAAGTTCAGCACACCTTGCGCGTAGGCTGCTGGCGAGAAGCTCCACCCTTCCTCGCTCCCTTGGTCTTGCCAATTGTCGGAAAAACACTCCTTCCATTAAAGCTTTGTTGCGAGTAGCCCATAGGGACCACGCAAGAGCCGCGGAGCCCACCCAGGCCACGTCACGGTCTTGCGCATTTGTGTCCCTCATAAGGAGATACACGTCCGAGAAATTACTTGGGTTCCAGGAGCAACCGGTAGCCGCCCTCGATATGCTCCAGGTAAACCGGCCGATGATGCACTGAAAAGTGATATGGTCACATGAGTCATCCTGATCACACATTTGCCGTTACCAGGGCCATTCCTTTTCTTGGTTATTCGCTTTTTCCTTTTTTCCTTTTTATTCTTTCAAGTACCTTTCAAATTTTCATTAATACACACTGAACATTTTTTAGACGCACGTTGTGAATTTTTCAAATACATGACAATTATTTTCGAATACAAGTTGAACATTTGTCAAATGCACATTGAACTATTTTTCAAATATTTAGTGATCATTTTTTTAATGATGCAAACATTCTTTAGTAGTGTTGAAATTCTTTTTAATGTCATTATTTTATTTGATATGTTATGAAGAACTTTTTCAAAACTATACGAACAAAATTTAACATTGCATGCATATTTTCTAAAATTTCATGAACCAATTTGTAACACTAACACATTTTCTTAAATATCATATAATATGTTTTGAATGGTATGACGTTTTGTAAAAATTACACAAAGAAAATTTTACATTTTAATATATTTTTTAAAATAGAATTTACATATTTTTAAACATGTGAACATTTTTAAAATTTTACAAGCATTTTCAAAAGTTATGCAAACAATTTTCACATTTCATTAGTTTTTTGTGAAAATTCGAGGAACATGTTTTTAAACATGTGAAAATATATTTTTATATGTCATGAACATTTTGTATATAATTCATCATATTTTAGTGTGAGTTGAACATTTTCATCTCTCTCTCTCTCTCTCTCTGCTTCTCTGTCTCTCTGTGTGTGTAGAATATTTCAAAATACAAATAAAGAAAAAAAAATGAACGAGCCAACACGTACATATTATTGAATTTAACACAAAAAAGACTTCCTAGTCGATGCCGCGTTTTAATCTCGCTAAAGGCGAGACCTTGACGCGCACCCGACGCACGCTGTACAGAGCCCTGGTTTAAATATTAAGCCCAACACGGCCTAGTGAGCTAAAGTGAGCTAAAGAAGACTGGGAGCGCTTTGTCTCGAAATCCCGGATTAAACTGATTAAGAGTACTCCTTCCAAAGATCACTCCCATCTCCTCATGCCACTTATCGCAATCTGGGAGTTTTCCTCTTTTTCCTCTTTTATCTCTTAAACCTAGCGTCCAAATTTCGAGCTGTTTTCACCATTGGATTTTCACAGCGATATCTTCAAAACTAGATTCCGTGTTGATAGATTTGACAAACTTTCTTTTTCACCAAAAAAGGACGAAAAAACCTAACTGGGAACACGTTTTTTCCCCTTCCAAGAGAAGCACAGCCATGCCTCTCCTGAAAGCACAACCGTGCCTCTCACGGAACAAAAATTGTGCCTCTCACGGATAAAAAAACAGAAAATGCGTTTTTTTTTCGTTTCCGAGAGGCACGCTCGTACCTTTCACGAACGCACAATCGCGCCTCTCGTGAAAGTCAAACCATGCCTCTCGCGGAAGGAAAAAAAATAGAGAACACTTCTTTTTTTCATTTCCAAGAGGCACGGCCTTGCCTCTCGCGGAAGGAAAATAATAATAGAAAACATGTTTTTTTTTCATTTTGAGAGTCATAGCTGTGCCTCTCGCGAAAGCAAAATTGTGCCTCTATCCGAAGAAAAAAATGTGTTTTCTCATGTAAATTTTTTGATTGTTTTTTCAAAAGCTAAGGAAGACTGGTGGAAAACAAAACAAAAAACTAAAAAAATCGTTTAAAAAGGCGAAAACATGTACAGAAAAATAAAATAAAGATCGGAGGGAGCGCCTAGAGCGCGACACATGGCGGCGACTAAAAGCGCGTCAAGTGGCGTGCTCTCAGCACACCCCCAAATGATTGTTGTGAGGGTTTTGAAGAAGTGTTCGTCAAGTAGTTGCTCTCACTTTGTCTCGCTTCAAGCGAGAAGAAAGAGGCGGTCACCTCTAGCGCTACCTTAGTGGTTCGG